CCCCCCCACCACACACACACACTACACCACAGGTCTGTGGACATTTACGAGGTGAACGACCTGATGACGCGGCGCGGCTGGCACCTCAGCCCGCTGCAGAGCCCCCCAGCGGTGCACATCTGCTTCACCGCCGCGCACACCGGGCCAGACACCGTGCGGCGGCTGGTGGACGACCTGGCGGAGTGCACGGCCGAGGTGGCGGCCGCGCCGGGGACAAAGGCCGAAGGCGGGACGGCGCCCATGTATGGCGCGGCGGCGGCCATGCCGGATCGCAGCGTGGTCGGGCGCTTCCTGGTCGCGTATCAGGACCTCCTGCTGGACTCCTGCTGAGGCCGGGGGGGGGCCTGGGAGCAGAGCTTACGCCCTGCAGGTGTGGGCACTCCAAGCAAGCGGTCGAGGCTGGCCGAGCCAGGCACGGCTCCTGCGCCGCCGCTGCACGACCTATGACCGACCGTGTTCTCCTGATCAACACATCGTTTACAGGCATACTGGTAGGGTTGCAAGGCAAACGTGTCATGAGACAAGGGCCGCTTAGATGCCACAGGGATGAGTTCTGTGAGGGGCGACTGGGGAAAATGAGGGGCGTGGTGGGCGCTGGCTGCCAGCCTGGCTGCAGCACCCTCCATCTCGATTGCCATGGAGGAGGACAACCGAGGAGCGCCCATGAGCGACGAAATGGCCTTGCGGGCATCAGGCAAAGGGGATACGGGCAGTATAGAAGGGGAGGGGAGTCCAGGGCACCTGGCACACAGGTCTGAGCAGGATCCCTGGCGGCAGAGCTGGAGGACCGAGGGGGAGACCAAGGTCGTCGCACCACTTGAAGCCAGGCGTCCCTATTCATATCCATTGATTGTCCTGGGTGAAGCATCGTCACCGTATGTATGGTGACTGCAGAAGGTTGCAAGCTTTCTGGAGAGCGACGGAGCAGCACCTGAGCTGCAGGGCTGGCAGTTTTGTAAATACTGACTCCTCAGTCGCAGGAGTAGAAGGAGTAGTGGCTTCTGAAGGGGACCAGGACCTCCTTGCCAGGCTCCGTGCAGCTGGCAGGGGGAACACCGCCCTCCGTCCTGCTCCGCACAATGTACTGCAGGTACGGCACATCCCCTGCAGCAAGCAGCGGAAAGTGGTGCGATTGATGTCACCTCTTTGGTCTCTTTTGGCATACGTCTTGCGGAGATCGCGGGAATTCACGTTCACACATCCTCTATCCATTCCTGACACCAGGATACTCAGGGTAAAGATCTCAAGTGTGATGTTTATAAGACACCCTTGTGATTCCCTCATGGTACAGAGGATAATCTCTCTTGAATCGCACCCTCAGGGGCACCCACACACTCCCTTGCCTGCAACTATGTATATGGGAGTTCTGGCCCAGGAGAGGTTCTCTGAGCCATCGGGCGATGGGTACACCGTTCCTCGACCTGTGTCGACATAATACTCCCCAAGATACCTGGAATGAGAAGGGTATGTTCTCGTGGCATAAGATTACCCTCAAGAAATTTTTGCGCCCAGCTGGACTGAGTGTGAAATGCCCTGTACAGCTTGCATTGGCAAGCTGTAGTCACCATGCATTCCCCTTAACTCACTGCGTCCCCCTTAACTCACTGCGTCCGGTTGCCTGGCTCATACATCTTCACCACAGCCGTCCCAAACTGATCATTCCTGGCTGTGTCGCGACATTCCAGAGAGTGGAAAGAATGTTAGAACACCAGGCCTGGCATATGTGGACGTGAGTCAGACACCAGCAGCCGCAAAGGGCTGGCCTAACCAACACGCCGAGCAACCTTGAACAATGCAGAACAAGTATCGCAGCTCAGATTAGCTCACATGCTGCATCGTACTCGCTGCCACCGAACAATACGTTGGCCGTGAAGGGGGTGTAGGACACAGTGAGGTCCGGGAGGCAGGTGTATATGCGATTGGACCCTTCTTCAGCTGCAGGCATGGGTGTGAGGGCGGAAAGGTCACTTGTGGCCACTTTCGAAGGCCCATGTGCTCTCCATGGGCATTGCGAGCATGAATCGAGGCCATGAGCAAGTGTAACCCCCCCCCTCTGTGATATGAAGCAGCCCAGCCATCGTACATTCCGATTCAAAGACGAGACGGTACCCCTCCTTGGGCATGAGGGTGACAGGGTCGATCTCATCCTCGTTGAAAGGAGGACATGTGCCATTGGCAGGGACTTCTGTATGTGTTAGGGGGTACGGAAGGTGTGCAAATGGACTATGCGGGGAGGCTGGCCATCTGTGTGCCACGGGGGGTTGAATCCCAGACCCACACCTAAATTCCGGAAGAAGCCTTCCCGTTGCTCACCTGACTCGGCCAGGGGTGCATTCAAGAGAATGGGAGGTAAGGGGGTAACGACCTGTGCACGCACAGTCTGCTGCAGGGCCAAAGATGCCAGCACGCACGCCACCCACACCACCATTATAACGAGTATGGCGGTGAAATCGGCTGCGTGCACGGAAAATTACAACTGCAAAGACATAACGAGCTGGTTCGGGGTCTCATAGACGTCCGTTCGCGTGTCTACTGCTGGGAAGTGATTTGGTGAACCCATCATGAATAGTTACGGGCCCCCCGGGGGACATTCGCAGCACCCGAGAATTTAACCGGTGGGGAGCCTCACATCGTGATCCCTTCCAATCTATGGATATGATTACAGACAGGTGGGTGGTATCAGTTATGCATGAGTATTTCCTTGCAGAACACAGATCATAGGCTCTGTGGGAGGAACGATTGTGAGACTGGGCGCATGGTCTGGAGTGCAAAAAAACTCTGTTGGCACAGAGATTAGGCTTCGTGTAGAGCCCTGGGTGGGCAAACACACATCCTTTGGTGCTCCACCAAGACCAGAGGACTTGATGCATTTGATGAGTGCAAATATGTGCATGATTGTAGGTGACATGGTGGCTATGTCCTCAACCATAAAGGGGGTGCAACCACAGCGGGCCTCAAGGGCAGTCAAAGCAAGCGGCGAGGCGAGTCACCAGGAGAAAGGAAGTGTGGAGCTCGAAAGCCGGTTGAGACATGCTGTTGGGTTCATCATGCGATCACTGCTGGTCAGGAACGCCCTGTAACCTGGGTGACCTCCGGAGCTGCCTCTGAACCACAGTCACCGGGGAGGAGGCAACTTGCCGCGCGGCTGCAGGAGCCCCATCTGCTTACGTATCTGATTCAGTCTTTTGGCGGACCAGAGGGCCGTGGATCCCAGCATGACGGCCCGCTTGGCGAAAGACACTCGCCTCCACATGAGGGACACCGCTGCGGTGCCTACCAGCCTCGCCGACCGCCGCAGGATCCACTTGCCAATCCCCATGGTGACAGGATGGGTATGAGACGATGATTAAATGCTCCGGGGATAACTCGAGGTGCGATGTCGGCGTCAAGGTCCTGTCCTTCTGTACTACCCAGCCATGGTGCTAAGCGCGGATTCCGCGCGACTTCCACATTTGAATGTCTGCTCCTCCTGCTTCCACAGACTCTCGTCAACTTCTTACACGGATCTTTCAAATTGTACCGTTTGTTCAGGTCTCAGCCACGTAGCTGTTCCCCACCGTGAACGAGTCGATGATGGTGTTGAGTTTATCCTGCATCTTGTTCCATCGTCGCTCATTGGAGCCGGTGACCAGCGTGTAAAAGTTCCCTGCACACGATTGTTCAGGTGGGGGAGCAGGTTCAGCGACAACAAATGACCCCAAACACACACGGGAGCACCTGCTCTTTCTGCAGGGGGTGCGCAGTGCGTGTAGTGGACCAATGCACACGTGTGGTTCCCTCATCTGCACCTTCCGCTCAGCCTAGTCATCTTCTACAAGTCATGCCCACCTCACAACTGATGACTCCCACCAAACAGCCCCACTCACCATTCCCGACGGCAACCGCCACCAGCGCATGTCGCTGGAACGTCTTTCCCTTGGCCACGAACTCGAACCTGTAGTACTCCCGCTCATCCCGCGTGGACTGCGGTGAGGGAGTTGGTTGGATGTTCATGGACAGATTCCATGGCGTCCTTTTCCAGTAGGTGTCCAGTCTCTGGGTGTGCACTGGTGGGGCAGACCCGGGGAACTGAACACCTTGCTCTGATGCACAGCTCGAGTCCATTGCACATGTGTGGCATGCCATTGCGGTTCCATTGGCGAGTACGGTGGTCCTGTAGGGTGCCCTCCAGAGATCCCCTGGCCAATACGCCGCATGGAACACGGCTCCGCACAGGCCCCCATCCACTCCCCATCCCAGGGAACCCCCCCCCCCTGTTCCCCGCCACCCTGACCCCCGCTCCGCCCACCTTCTCGGCCTTGATCAGGCGCACCTCCTGGCCAGGGGCGCTCAGCACTCGGTCGGCCAGGGTGACGGCCACCTCGGCGGGGCTGCCAAAGTCGCTCACCGTCTGCTTGTCTGTGGGCACCACAGCCACCGCCACGCTTTCCAGGGGCTCGATGACGTCCTTGAACACCTGGTCCTGGCCGCGCACCGTCACCTCCTGCCAGCCAAAGGGGTAGAGCAGGGAGTAGCCGTCCTGGGTGTCCTTGAGGGGAACAAAGGCCCCTTTGTCTGCGGTGGAGGAGGGGGGCGGCATCTTTGTCAACAAGGGCTGTGCGATACTGCAAGGATACTGACACCCACACAAGGGGATGGGGCGCCCCACAAGTAACAGGCAGGGGCATGTACGGTGCCCTCTGCAGGCATGGACCACCGGCGTGCCCCGCCACCATGGAGGGGAGGGGGGGGGGGCAGAGCCCATGGCTGACAAGTACAAAAAGCACTCCGCGCACTCGCTGCCAGGGATGCACCAGGTCTACAGAAGAGGAAGGCCCCCGCGAGGAGACTGGATTGCAGGAGGTGACGTCGGTGGGACGAGCCAGGGGTGGCAGCCATGCTGCTGCCTTGGCTGGCCGCCCCATTTTCCGATTCAAGGCTGTATGCGGCCATGCCATGTTCAGAAGGACCCTCCGATCTTGCCCAAGTCTTCATGCTGGCGCTCCTGCAGGCCGTGTGCGCCTGATCCCGGTTGCAGCCCCGTGCATGGCGGCACTTGATCGTCCGTCCCACCGGGGCCACATGGGGACCCACCCCAGACCCCACGCCCTGCGAGGTACAAGGAGCAAGCTGCATTTTCACTGTCCAGCCATAGATGTTGGAAGGGTTGCCCGGTCGTTGGTACGGGCGAGAGTTCAATGCGTGACTGGCGAGCATGCCACGCAGTGGCAATCCTCAGGATGGGGCACCGTCCCCCTTTCCAGAGCCCCGCATTTCCAAATCAACTGCACCTGGCGCAGGCGCCCATCCGACACGTCGTAGCACCTACACAGGTGCTCACGCAGCCCTCCTCCACAAATACTTGTGTCCAGGCGCACCTTGGACACGTGCCCAAGAGTGCTCGGAGGCCTGACCCGTCCCGGAAGGTCTCCTGGGATGCCCGGCGGAATGTCGTCCTCCTCATCCCAGAACGTGCCGGTGCAGGAGGCCAGCCGCGTCCCGGGAAAGTCCCGTTACCAGGTCTGGCGCACCACCTTCGAGATCGACGAATCCTATGTTCCCATCAAGGCGGTGGGGAAGGGCGCGTACGGCGTCGTGTGCTCCGCCAAGCACACCCCCACCGGGGAGAAGGTGGCCATCAAGAAGATCACCAACGCCTTCGAGAACCTGGTGGACGCCCGGCGCACCCTGCGCGAGATGAAGCTCCTCCGCTACCTCAGGCATGCTCGGTGGCGTTGGGGCCTTGCGAGGGCGTGGCTGTCAAGGGCCTGCGCTGGCCTGGCGGGGGCAGTGCTGTGGAGGGGCCCCCCCCCCCGCCTCAAGAGTGCCTTCTCCTGCACAGCTGGGTACCCTGTCCCATGTCCCATGTCCTCGCCGCTCCACCCTGTGCCCCAGGTACCCGCGTGGGATGCACGACATGTGTGCACCCACTGACTCGCCTCCCCCTTTCCACCAATCCTGTAGGCACGAGAATGTGATTGGGGTGCTGGACATCATGCCCCCCCCCCCCAAGGCCCCCTTCAACGACGTCTACATCGTGTACGAGCTGATGGACACCGACCTGCACCAGATCATCCGCTCCTCCCAGCCCCTCACCGACGAGCACTTCCAGTACTTCATGTACCAGACGCTGCGGGGCCTCAAGTACGTGCACTCCGCGGGGGTGCTACACCGCGACCTGAAGCCCAGCAACCTGCTGCTGAATGCCAGCTGCGACCTGAAGATCGCGGACTTTGGGCTGGCAAGGACCAGCACCGAGAGCAACGCCTTCATGACAGAGTATGTGGTCACGCGCTGGTACCGCGCGCCCGAGCTCCTCCTCTCCTGCGATAGCTACTCCGCGGGCATCGATGTCTGGTCGGGTGTGTGTGATGGGGGGCCGGGGAGGTGTGTGTGGTGGGGGGGAGGGGGGTCAAGTGGTGAAGGAGAAGTGGTTGGGGAGGCAGGAGTCGGATCGCCATCCGAGGAGCTCAGACGAGCCGCGGGCGAGAGCACCGCGGCGGCGTTGAGTCGAGGATGCGGTCTGCAGAGGGCCGGGTCTGGGTCCCAGTCTGGTGCTCTGAGGCCACAGAGGAGCAGCAGGCCCTCCGTAACCCGACCCCCCTTTCCCCCTCATCACCCAACTGTTCGTCACAGTGGGCTGCATCCTGGCCGAGCTGCTGGCGCGCAAGCCTCTCTTCCCCGGCAAGGACTACATCGACCAGCTGAAGCTGATCATCAGGACCCTGGGCACCCCCAGCGATGAGGAGCTGGGCTTCATCACCGCGCCCAAGGCGCGCACCTACATCCGTGGCCTGGCCGCCGTGCAGGTGGGCGATTGATCCCGGGGAGGAAGGGGGATGTAGTCGACAGGGACAGAAATATGGGGAGGGGGGGTGGGGGGCGCTCAAGTGTTGGCACATGATAGCATGACGAGGGGCCCCGAGCCCAGAGCTGCCGTTGCCTTGGGGAGGGCTCGTGCACTGGTGCCTTGCACAGGGTACAATGGTCGCCTGAGGCTAGTGCCACTCCCTCACCACCCTGCGCCCTTCAACCCTCATTCCCGAACACCCGGCAGAAACCCGACTTCCGGGCCTCATTCCCCGACGCGAGCAAGCAAGCCCTGGATCTCATGGAGCGCATGCTCCAGTTTGACCCCCGGCGACGCATCTCTGTGGACGACGCGCTCAGGCACCCCTGGCTGGCAGCCCTGCACGACGAGGCTGCCGAGCCGGTGGCCCGAGGTGGGTCAGGGATGGACGGCAGGGATGAGGCCACAGGGAGTGGAGGTTGCCCTGAACCAGGTACCTCATGGGACCCCCCCCTGACGGGAGAGAACACTCTTTCCGCCTCTCCCATTCCCCGAACACCCCCCACAAACGCGATCAGGGGCCTTCAAGTTCGATTTCGAGGACCAGGAACTGGACGAGCCGACCCTGCGCAGCATGGTGCTGGACGAGGTTGCGCGCTACCGACAGCGGAAACAGGCGCCCAAGGAAACCGTGGCCGTGCACGCGACGGCATGACGGTGGTGTGCGCAGCAGGGCGATCATTCTCTGCATGGCCCCTTTGCAAGCGGTGATCTTGGCGAGCCGCTGCCACCGCAAGGCCTGGACATCGGAAGAGACGCACTTGCGGTGTCCGTACACACCGCCAGGCGCGATCCGCACCGCCGGCGATCGCAAGATTGTAGAGACTTTTCGAGAGAATTGCACCAGCATTGACAAGATCAGTTGGCAACTCGGTATGAACAGCATGAGCTGGCGGGCCCGTCACTCGCACCTGCGCCCACGACTGCAGCTGCCGAGAAGTCGACACCGCATGGGGCACTTGTGCATTCAAGGTTCAGCCTTCACCTATCCGATGCGTCGCACCCCAGTACTTTGATCTAGAATCGTCTCCTTCATTATACCAGCGATTTGAGCGCTCGAGAGCCTTTTGCCATCACCGCCGCGGATGAATACGACCCACTCGGGTGCGGAGTCCCTGCTGGCCGTTTTCGATGTTCTGGCCAGCAGCGACGTTTCAGATGTGCTCCTGGCCATGCAAGTATGCAGATTCTGGAGGCGAATCGGGCAGTCACACGTAGGATTCAGGAAGCTCCATTGGCTGTCACTGTACAGGTGCGGGCTTCAGGAGTGGGGTGGTAGGAAGGGGAAACTTCGTAGACGAGACCTTTGACCGACAATACCTTTGAAATATTATTATTGAGCACTGCAGTGATGGTATTAATACCTTCATCGCTCGTGCTGCAGGCGCGTGACCCGATCCCAGTGGTCGCTGCAAAGCTTCACGGCCATGCTGGATGGCTGGTGGGGTCGCAGGCTCCGGTGCTTCGATGCCGTGCAGGGCGACGAGGGCAGCCGGGAGGCGCTCACCGACGCCCTGCTCGTCCTCATTCTGTCCCGGGCGCCACAGATCACGGCCGTCATGTGAGGAGGGACCTCCGCTACCTCGGCTGCCAAACTCTCGATCCCCGCGTACCGCGCACGTGCGTGCCTCCTTCTCCGGAGCGGCCCTCCAACACCCTCTCACCCCGCACCCCACGTGCCCGATGCAGGATGCACCACTGCCATCACATCAGCGATGCTTCCCTGGGGGCCCTGGCACTCATGGCCCCGCCCCTGCACGTCCTGGACCTGGGCTGGAGCGCCCGGGTGACGGCCTGGGGCCTGAAGCAGGTGATCGACCGCTGCGGCGGCACGCTGACCACGCTGTGCGTCAGCAGCACCAGCAACACCCTGTCCCTCCTGAATGTGGATGACGGTGTTGCCCACCAGCTGTGCATGCTCTGCCCCCTCCTGACCACCCTACAAATGGTGAGTGGCGGGGCTGGGGGAGATGGGGTCTGGGGGAGGGGGGAGTGGGGGCTGCGGCGTGGTGCATGCGCACTGCAGGATGCTGAAGCAGAGAGGGGGCCACCTCTCTTAGAAACGGCGGTGTCCGTCGACGCTTGAAGTAGAATCCTTGCTCTGTGATGGTGTGGCATGCTGCATCGTCCACCGCGGACCGGGTGTGCCATCGGGCTCTGGCGCTGCCGGCCGCCGGTGTGCACGCAGCTCCCGAGGACTGTCCCCACTTGGTCCTCCGCTCCCTCCACTCCTCAAAGGGTAATCGCATGGGGATGCATGTCCCTCTGTACCCAGTGCGCCATCGTCACTGACACCCCCCTCCCTCCTCTCTCCCCCCTTTCTCGCCTGCTCACCCCGCAGAACGACACGAGCATCGGCAACCTGGGACTCGCTGCCATCTCCATCAAGATGCCACACCTGCAGTGCCTGGGCCTGGACGGCAGCCACGCCTGGGACGAACAGGGCATGGCCTGCCTGGCCGTTGGGTGCCAGGGCCTGATCAGCTTCTCGGCAGCCGCCAGCAGGCTCGCTGACATGGACCTCTGCCGCCTCCTGGCCTCCTGCCGCGCAGTGGAGGCAGTGCGGGTGTCCAACTGCTCGGCCATCACGCTCAAGGGTGAGGATATTACCACGAGGGATTTGAGGGTTGGCAGGTCCGAAGATCATGATGGGAGTACATGTTTCAACACAAGGCGATGGGTGTGGCAGCTGGACTTGCGGGGCAGAGGGTTTTGGTGGACCTCCCTGCCACATGGGACACACTGCATCCCCTGCATGACAGTCTCATGCCAGCTTGAAGCTGGGTGCCTGCAGCATGCGTGGGCCTGTCCCTCCCCTGCACAGTGAGCACATGCCCCTCTGCCCACCACCATCTCTCTCACACCGCTGAACTCTCCTCCCCACCCCGATTCCAACAGGCATTCAGGAGTGCGCCGCTGTGGCTAGTGACAGCCTGCTCCTCCTGGAGTTCCAGGGCGTCGGCGGGGCGGCCAGCCCCACCGCGCGTGCCGCCTTCTCCTCCTGGGCCCGGTCGTCCCGCTGGGAGCTGAGCCCCAAGGGAGACGCCCTCGCCAGCCCTGGAGCGTCGCCCAGCTGGGTCTACTTTGGCGACCTGGGCCGCAAGAGTCGGGTGCTGGACGAGGCCTGCTCCCGCCACTCCAGCGACGTCTGCTCCTCCGTCGGCTCTCCGCCCCCCTCGCTCGCGCCAGCTGCGACGGGAGATTGACACCGAGACCTCCCACGGCGACCGCGTGGGCACCATCGTGATGTGCCCGCTCTTTGGCCCCCTTTTGTGCATCCACCAGGGCCCCCCACCATGATAACTGTGAACCCAGATCCCCGCCATTGTTCTCTCCCCCCCCTCCTAGATTGTGATCCCCTGCATGCCCCCAGTCTTCCATCCAAAATCCCATGAGCGCTTGCCTTGATACGTATGCCGGCCCGCCTGCCGCCCCATGGAACCCCAACATACTTGTGCAAATGAGATTCAGGCGGTGTGCCTGTAAAAATGCGACAGTACTGGTGTTTCAGGGGTTGTGCAAAATGCCCCAGCACAGCGCGCCATGGGAGAATCAGACGGCGCCCTCTCTGGGCCCTCCCATGTTTCATGCGCCGATGAGCTGCTCGTAGAACAGGAGGGTAGCCTCGGCGGGGAGCACCTCCCGCTGCAGATCGGCTCGCAGGACCCGCTCGTCGCCCGCGGCCACCCAGACACCGCTGGCGCCGCCGCCGGGCAGGCGGCGGAAGGCCGTCCAGTGTCCTGAGCGAGCAAACCCCGAGTGGCAGGCCACGGCCACGAGGCGGTAAGCAGGCGGGCCCGGCGAGCAGGTGGACTCCCTCTTTGTTGGTGTCGTGTCGCCAGCAGCGCCTTCATCATACACCACCGCCGGCTGGGGTCCACTCCAAGACCTGCTCTCCTCCTTCAGCGCAGTTTGGCGAAGGCACTCCGGCGATGCTTCCGGTCCGTGGCCCCACGTGCCAATGCCCGTGTCAGCCTGGAGGTCAAACAGACGAGGAAATGCGACGTGCCCCGCGATCTTCACCGCGCCGCGGTGAGTCCACAGCGTGCGCTGCAGCTGGAGGCAGAGGGTGGTCGGGGCGCTGACCAGGCACGGTCTGCGCCCCGCGCCGGGCGCGGGGCGGCGGACGGGATCGTGCGTGGCGCTGCCCGGAGCGCCCCCCTCGGACCCTCGGTCTCGGGCGTCGCACGCGCCGCAGCGTGCCCCCGGCGCCACGTCGGCCAGCTGGGCAAAGCACTCACGCAGGCTGGTCCGGCAGCGCGCGTTGCCATCCAGGCCGGTGCCCGGGAGGCGCGGCACGGGGAGGAGGAGGAGGTGGAAGGGCTGCTGCGGGGCCGCCCAGGCATGGCCGCAGCGCAGGCAGCGCGACGTCCAGGTCAGCACGCCGCGGCACGGCGGCCGGCTCGCCAGCGCCCAGTCCTTCATATAGGCGGGTAATGCCCATGTGGGCACCAGGCCGGCGTCGGGGCCCCCACCCACGCAGGTGCAGGAGGGGCCGTCTGGGGCGCAGCCGCCCAGGCCTGCCGCGCCCCGCTCTCCAGCAGGCTCATGAGCGCAGACCACGCCTCGCCCGCGTCGCTCTCGGTGCCAGAGGGGAAGGAGGCGGTCGCAGAGGGGGTGGCCCTGAGCGTGGCGAGGAGGGGCGAGGGGTCGGCGGGGCGCGGGCGGCCGCCGTGCGGCGGGGCAGGTGCCAGCTGGGAGACGAGCGCCGCCACCAGAGCCGAGATGGATGAGTCAGGGAGGTGCAGGCGCTGGATGATGTGCACGATCCAGGAACACAGGCCTGGGCAGCTCGCCAGCGACTGCCGGGGTTGGGGCAAGGGTGGTGAGTCGGGGTCTCCTGGCTCCATGCGAGAGGAAGTGTACCAGCAGGGAAAAGGTGCCACCCAATCATCACGCTGGGCGCACTGGCGGAGCGAAGAACTTCAGGCATGCAAAAACCCATCTCGATACGCTCGCGTCTAATCCCGACCCCTCGCGTCCACTGCACCTGGAGGACAGCATTCAGGTAGCATGTGTTGTGCAGGTTCCGCAAACCTCGCACAGACAGCTCGCCAGCCTCCTGCGCGGCGTCGATCACTGGTGAATGGTGAGGGCCCAACATCTGGACTTTAGACATCCAGGTCCAGTCCGGCGCCGAGGGACGACCGCACCATGCTCTGATCGCCAGATGCTCCTCCTGGGGTCGTTCAGCTGAGCATCCTTGTCGACTCAGGTTTCCACCCTGGCCCATGCCCTGGGCTGGACGCATGCATCTTCTCACACCTGATTCCTTTCCTAACTAATCAACTGCACACATGGCAACCAGGCAGTCGCGCTCGCCCAGGTCTGCAGGCCAGGGCGCATGAACATACTTGGAAGAAAGCGGGACGGAATTCCAGTCAGAGTTCGTCCCAGGGTCCCCGCCCTGCATGTGCTGGAGAGCCAGGTGCCGGCTTGAAACCTGCCCCCCCCCGGCCTGCTCTGTCTCTTTGGCACGGTGCTCTACCGCGTGCCAACCATCTCTCGCTCTCCCGTTCGTCTCGCCCCCCCCCCAAAGGTGCGTGGCTGGGCCCTGGCCCAGGCCGTCGGCGCGCGTGACCGGCGCAGGGCGTCTGGCCTCCCCCCTCACCCCCATCCCCCCAAACTATGCAGAAAACATCGCAATCATGGCTGTCGAGCAGAACGCGTACGATGCCAAGGCCTTCGACGAGAAGATGGCCGAAGTGTGAGTGGGGACGGGGCCGGGGTGCTGAGCCGGCGGTGGTCTGGTTGCTTCGAATTCGGCAGTGGGTCTCCACACCTCCCCAGCGCCGTCATCGGTGTTTCCCTGATGTCCTTTGCAT